AGTCGAATGAAAAACATTGTTAAGACGGCTGTAGCGTCCCCACTCCCTTCCAGCTCTACGTCCACAGCGTCTAAACCTATATACATAGAAGAACAACAACAACTACAATCAAAGAAAAACAATGCCAGCTCAGCGAAAGATACTGACAGCAMAAATTGCAGCAGCAGTTTGACGTGTCATCGATCGATAGTGAGGAAAGTGATGAGGATAGAAGAAGTCAAAAGAGGAGGAAAAGTGATAAAGAAGTAGCACGTGAGGCTCAGGAAGCACACAAAATCCTGTGAGATAAAGCAAGTTCAACACTTGATAAAGTCAATGATTTGCTGACTGGACTAAAGTCGCAACTAGACTCCAAGAGGTCGTAAAGGTACATTTCTTAGTAACCTTTTTCTTACAGTTTATCTTGTATTTTGTTTGCTAGCGAGCTGATAAAAATGTTGAGCAACTATAGCCTCAGTTGCAGTTAGTCAGGATTTTACGTCAAAGGCTCGAGAAACAACAAGCTTTCCGTAATACTCTATACAGTAGGCTTAAGTTGGACGACGGAACAACGCACACCAGGAACAACGATAAAACGTGTTCAACTGAGGAGAGCGGAAAAGCTTATTTTCTTTGTCCTTGTATAAAAAATAAACTTAGCTGCATTGTATTATCAAATTCTGTAATAAATTTTGTAAGCAATATTTTCGCAATAAAAACGTTTGGTACTAGTTGAGAATCAACTGGATCAATGAAGCGAAAAGGCAAGTGCACACTCTCATTATCATGCTATTTTACTTTGAAACTCATTTGCATGCAAAACATTGCTTATGTGATATATCGTAAAGTTCTACTGGTACATTGCATGACAAATGCTTGATTGCTAAAATTAGCACTCACAATAGCCAAACKTTATGCTTTGTATTACCCACAATGCACCTGATATACACATAAAATGATATGTGGTTGCTGCCATAATTATGGCAATTGATTTAAACATTTTAATGCATACACATTGAATGCATAAGTGGCAAGACTGTTTTGATTATCTTCTTCTGGGTTTCTTATATTTGTTAAAAAAAGACATTCACTTATTAATCGTACATACTAGGTACTGGTCCAATTATTTTCTTAATTGGATAGCTCGGATTAATATGTGGATATGGTATATAATAAAGGTAAGAACTCCACATAGTCCAATTAACAAATAATTAGACTTTAAAAATTCCTCTGACTGCCAAATTGGAATCAGCCTTGTGCCAATTTTGGCAGTCCTTGGAATTTTCCTCTGCCAATTGCAATGATTTCTCAGAAATTGGCCAATATGTGGTCCTATAACATAATGTAATAAAATCTTTCTGATGTTGGTAATGCACAGAACAGACATATAATTACCTATCTCCATCTGGGATCCAACCAGCACGCACTACATACTCCATAGATGGAAAAATTTCTTCCAATGAAACCAAAAGTTGGTACTCAATAATATCACCACACATCTAAAAGATGTTTTCATTGTTGAAATTATCTTGAATAATGGCCTTGCGAGGCCTTGCTGATAAGGTGCATATAGTGAGTAGTTCTGATAATGGTGAAAACAGTAATGAAGAAATAGATAATGTAATGGAAGCAATGGTGATGGCAAGCATGACTTATATTACAATGAATTTCATATGATTGTGCAAAATACTGATACAAGAACACCTTAYGGCACAGAAGTGCTGTTTTTCAATCACAATAACATGATGTTGGCGACCGACAAAAGCTCGAAAGTAAACTTATCACAGCAGTAGCGTATGGCCTAATTTCAACTTTACATTGCACAACACGATGCTACTGAAGGACAACTTCATCACTTTGAAACAATAACATGGCAATGCTTAAAGTGCATGTATGATAAAAACTGAGGAATTTGAATTTCAGCTAGTTTTGAACAGTCTATATGCAGATCCAGAACAATAACCATTAAAGGCCCAGTGTGCACCATTATGCTTTGGGGCCCTCGGGCTGCAGCCATTTTCAGTTTACCGAAAGTCTATAAACTGTACTGTGAATTTCAAGTCTTTGACCATCTCACTTTTCTAAGCTTTTCAAACGCTGATATTAGAGTTTTCAACCATCTTACTTCGTTTTATGGTGATATTTGGATACAAGAAATATTTTGGTGTAAAATCAATTAAGAGCATTTTTTTTATGTAGCATTGAAAGTCAGAAGAAATCAAGTTTTGAAAGTCAATTTCAACTTAAAGTTTATTTGCATGATGTTATATGTGCAGCCCTGGAACGAGGTTGGTATGCAGTCAAATAAAGTGGGTACGGAGATTTGAGGCATAAAAATAACTATAATTAAGAAATATGCCTCCACTGTATTTTCCAGTCTCCATATCTATCTGGCCTTTCTAATATGCAACTGTGCTCCATGTCTATTTTCATTATCATCAGTTTGGTAACCATCTTCACCAATATTTTCTATATATAGTAAATTTTCTTTCATAGCATGAGTAAATAACTACGATAACTCTCTTTGGAAACATACATGTGAATAACATTCTATTTGGTTTGTTGGCATTGCTGCATTCCAGCCTAAATCTGTGGACATCGGTAATAAATAAAAAACGCTGCTACTTTTTCTCTCGTAAATTCAATGAGCTTTTTATCATTCATTGTTTAGCTGTTACATTTTTCACATTTTCAGACACAGATTAAACAATCATAAAGAAATTGAAAACCACAGCCTACCATCAATCTTTAAAAAAACAATGAAGAGTTTGTTATAAACCAAGGTGGATGAAGAAGTAGATGCCTGAAATGCATATTAAGCTTATTTTGGTGCGTATTTGACTTATCGAAGTAGAATTCATCAGACAATGGGATACACTTCTTTCTATTTGACATTCGCCAGGAAAATGAAGTCAGTTGTTAACTTATATTGTCAAGCAACAAGCAACAAAACAAAAATGCAACAAATAGAAAGGGTGTTACTTTGTAGGTTTGATTTAGACTCATAATTGCACACTCAGATACATCAACCTAGACTATTTTGACTTATTATCCCAAACTGTTGCCATGGGCAGGCATCCTCAAGCTTAAATAGCTTGGTGGCAGAATYACATTCTTKTCTCTATTAAACAAAGTGCTATATGACTTGAAATGCCTCCTCACACTTCCTGTGAAGTTTCCTAGAATCCTTTCACAAGTTAAAAGCACTTCTTATTGATAAGATACAGTAAGTACTACTGCTGCTTTGCGATTGGATGGGTGATTACCACTAAAAGTCAAGTATCTATTGGTGTGCGTCTTTTTCCAATAATTATTAATGTGCATTGAGCCTTCATCAGTAACATTATTAAGACTATCAAGAAATGGCAACCCAGCTTCTGAATACCTCTCGATGAAATTGATGACCTCCATGAAGGCATCAATCTGGTCTTTCCTTATCACACAGATAGTATCTATCAGCATAATGCATAAAGATTCTAGATACAGCAATAAATGAAGACAACACCTTGGATTCAACTACCTCCATAACATGATTTGCCACTGTAACAGATAAATATGGGAGCCCATAGCAGTTCCAAATGTTCATTCACAGAAATGATCCAATAATGTCAATACAAATTTAACCATGAGTATAGCAGTCAGTGGTGCTTCACAGTTTCTTCCTGTTTCACACTCTGCACAAACTAGAGAAATTTAAAAGTAAGTGCTCACATCCTTTGCAAATCCTGGCCATCAGAAACAGTAATACCAAAGTGATGGCCTTCAAYACTGTAATGTAATCAGTTTAATACAGCAGCAATCAACCCTTTAGGAAGAACTATTTTATCTTGAAGAGTATTGTAGGTTATATACTATGCATTGATCTTTGTCTGTAATTTCTGTTTTGATGTTTTGGTGTCATTCTACATAACTTGTCTAAACTTAAAATATATTTTCTGCATCTTTCATGTGTACRATGTATAATTCTAACTAAGAGTAGATAATAACCGTAGGTTTTTGTCTGGTATTTTTTCTTGCAAACAACATTATTTTGTCTTGACAAGAGACAGCTAAAAGTTGT